ACCACCTAATGACACTTAATGAACATTTTGTGGCTCTTGTTTACCAGCTCATGGTGCACTACCATCCGGTTGCTACCTCCGACGACTGGGGTTCAGCCCCTATGGAACAAGGTCGACCTCGAACTGTGAAGAGAGGAGTAGAAAACATCGCGGCCGAGATCCCCAATGGTGAGTCCGCGTTGCCCCTCTCTTAGACCCACGCAAAGTGTCTCCTGGGGGTTGGCTCTGTCCCTTGTCACCAGTTGTGACCTGCCCCGTGGTGAGGACAGGCTTGTTTGCTCCCGTCAAAGCCCGTCATTATCAGTGTGCCTTGAAGTGGAGCAAATGAAGGTGTGTGGGAGAGGAAGGAGCAAAATGCAACTCAACTGGGTGTCTGCTGCAGAGCGGTGGCTTCTGCCAGGCCTCCCGAGTGCTAAGCCCTTAACTATGCACTGTGACTCACCAGGGATGGCTGTGTCCTTGGAACGAGTCCTCCTGGTCGGTGCTTTCCCCTTTTATGTGGCAGAGGTGACTGGGACCCTGGGCCACCCTGGGGAACATTCACTTTTGCTCTGGCTTTGCTGCAGTGCTGATGGGAGACAAAATTGGTGAGGCTCTTTGAGCCATCTCGCCTTCCTGTTGATTTGAATGTGTCACGGGGGTGGGAAGGGGCAGGGGGAGACGTTCTTACCGAATTTAGCAGAAACAGGAGAATTCCCGCTACTCTTAAAACACAAAACCCAGGTGCTCACTCGAGTTTTTCTTCTCCTAGACTTAAGGTGAGGACGGGAGGTTCTGTTCTCCTGCTGAGTATTTGGTTTCAGCGGATCAGTTTACCACTCAGGTGACGGTCTCCTGCAGGGCCTGCGCTTTCAACCCTCCTTCTGTTCTTAGGAGAGCCTCTGCAGATCGATCACCTGGTTTTCGTCGTTCACGGCATCGGTCCAGCGTGTGACATTCGCTTCCGGAGCATCGTGCAGTGCGGTAGGTGTGGAGCAAGGGCTGCCGTACGGTTCTGCAGGAGACAGAGACACTGATATTGCCCACCATGAGCTCTGCAGGAAACACGGAGGGGAGCTTTCTCACAGCAAGCTGTCTTTATTTCCTATAAAATATACCTCTGCTTTATACCATGGTCTGTTCTCCTACATGCTCATTTAATGAAGCGATTTGCAATGCTATCGAGCATTTAAAATCAAGGGAATCAGCCTCTCTGCCTCTTCAAAATTAAGTAATTTCAAGTCTACCTCCTCCCTTCAGATTCCCTTCTGAATGTGTGCATCATCACAACAGATTTATTGTTAACTCCTCCAAGTACCTTTGTTATCCTGGCTGCTGTGTTAAAGCCTTGCACGCATGGCAGGAGTCTTGTTACAGATCAAACAGCAAAATCCTTACCTGGGGAAGGACATGGGGCCTCCCCTGATCTTGTCGTTAAAGACTGAAGGTCTTAGGGTAGCAGCAGCAGCAGATTAAAGACCCTGGTGGGATTTCCCTTGGTAATGATCTTTTCTTTTGTCTTATTAAGCGTTGTTGATGCAGTAGGCTTGCCCCATGGCCTTGGCCATGGTTCATCTCGATAAGAGAGCGTGATCTCTTGCAGTGAACGACTTCAGGAACGTTTCCTTGAACATGCTGCAAGCGCATTTCAAGAAGGCGCAGGAGCAACAACAGATCGGCCGGGTCGAGTTCCTGCCCGTGAACTGGCACAGCTCGCTGCACTCCACCGGCGTGGACGTGTGAGTGTCCCGGGGAGCCGGGCCCGGCCCTCGCTGCGGCGCGATGCTCCTGGATGGTACCAGAGATCTCTGCAAGACGTTGCTAGATGGTACTAGAGATCCAGATGTTGCTAGATGGTACTAGAGATCCAGACGGTACTAGAGACAGATGGTGCTAGATGGTACTAGAGATCCAGATGTTACTAGAGCCACATGGTGCTAGATGGTACTAGAGATCCAGATGTTGCTAGAGCCGGATGGTACTAGAGATCTCAGCAATATGGTACTAGATGCTACTAGAGATCCAGATGTTACTAGAGCCAGATGCTACTAGATGGTACTAGAGATCCAGATGTTACTAGAGCCAGATGTTGCTAGATGGTACTAGAGATCCAGATGTTGTTAGAGCTAGATGCTACTAGAGATGTCGGCGAGATGTTACTAGATGGTACTAGAGATCCAGATGTTACTAGAGTCAGATGGTACTAGAGATCTCTGCATGACGTTACTAGATGTTACTAGAGCCAGATGTTACTAGCGATCTCTGCAAGATGTTGCTAGATGTTACTGGAGATCCAGATGTTACTAGAGATCTCTGCAAGACATTACTAGATGGTACTAGAGAACAGATCTTGCTAGAGCCGATGTTACTAGAGATCTCTGCAGGACGTTGCTAGATGGTATAAGAGATCCCTGCAGGACGTTGCTAGATGGTACTAGAGATCCAGATGGTACTAGAGCCAGATGTTAGATGTTACTAGAGCCTGCAGGACGTAGATGGTATAAGAGATCCCTGCAGGACGTTGCTAGATGGTACTAGAGATCCAGATGTTGCTAGAGCCAGAGCCAGATGGTCCTAGAGATCTCTGCAAGCTGGATTGCCTTGGTGTGCGCTTGAGCACCGCGTGCAGACCCCGGCAAGGGGAGCTGAGAATCTGCCTTAGGACCTCCCATCTCCTGCAGACGCTGGCCGTCCTTCCATGGACTCCAGGCCCAAGTTTTGCCTTGGCGGCACCCCAAGAGCTGCCTCCTAACCGCAGTTTCCTCCGGTTTCTCCACGCAGTGACCTGGAGCGAATCACTTTGCCCAGCATCAACCGCCTGCGGCACTTCATAAACGACACCATCCTGGATGTCTTCTTCTACAACAGCTCCACCTATTGCCAGACCATCGTGGACACGGTGGCCTCCGAAATGAACCGCCTCTACCAGCTCTTCCTGCGCAGAAACCCCGGCTTCAAAGGAGGCGTTTCCATTGCAGGTCACAGTTTAGGTAAGGACGCTTCCCTTGGACACTGAGTGTGGATGTGAGGGCGGTATCCCCATTTCCAGGCTAGACAGGAGATGGCTTGGGTTGTATTTTCCACGCACCGCCTTTCTAGGGTCCCTCATCTTGTTTGACCTCCTGACTAACCAGAAAGTTGCCCCTGAGGATGATGAGCGCGGCACCGAGGTAGGCTCTGCGTCCTGGGGCTGCTGTGGCTCTGCAAAGCAAATAAAATAGCCTAGGAGCAAATAAATTAGCCCAAAACTTGACGTGTGGTTGTTGTACTCAAAGGGTTCCAGGACCACCTCAAGCACCAGAGGGGCTGAGCAAGTTAAGGAAATTCTGAAGACGTTAGAGCTGTCTGAGTACAGCGATGTTTTTGAGAAGGAGAAAATGGACCGGCAGGCGCTGGTAAGGAGCTCTCTCTTTTGCCATCTCTGATGTTTCCTCTTTGTTTTAATTCTTTCCCAGCATGTGCCCCTGGTACTGGGTCACCTTCCCATGAATTGTCCCCCAGGAGTGCAGAAGGAGCAGAGTTATCTACCTGCACACATCTCTCTGCTCCAGTAGTGATATCTGGGTTGCTTATTCTCTAGTTCTTGTGTACGGAGAAAAATCTCAAAGAAATGGGAATTCCTTTGGGACCAAGGATGAAGATCCTTCATTACATCAGCTCCAAAAGGGAGACGCAGGTTTGTCTTCTGCCCGACTTACGCTCATTCCCGATCACATTCCCTCACTCCTGGATAAGAGTCCATTTTCATCATTTATGGCCAGTTTGGTGCAAAACAAGATGCAAGGCCCCATCCCTGAGCACCCTGAACTCCTCATTCCTGCCTGTCCTTGCATGGACTTCTCTTGGGTTGTGGCAACAGAGCTGCTGTTTCCATCTGCAGCTGCTTTCATGTGTTGCATTAAATAATATACCAGGGCCTGAAAGGTGTTTCTTGCTTTGAAGAGCAGTTCTATCAAAGCTGGTGCCACCTCCCAGCTTGGTGCTGGAGCATAAGGGATCCCAGGCAGTTTGCTGCCGTGTGGATCCCTTTTCCTCTCGCCGGTTTGGGTGGGAAGGGCTGCAGGTCCTGCAGGAGCTGCGCGCTCTGCTCTCCCTGTGGTTGCAGGATGCTGCTGGGCACGGTGTGGAGAGCAGAGCGGAGCCCGGATCCAGCGCAAGCGACGGAAGGAACTGCCAGTACCGGGATGTTGCCTTAGGGCAGGTAACTGCTGCGCTCGTCGTGACGCTCGACCTGGAGCAACGGGCACGGAGATCCTCTCGTGTCACAAATCCAACCCTCCCTCTCTGCCAGGTCTCGGCAAACTATCCTCAGCTGCTCTACAAGCCGACCATCTTCTTTGCCTTCGGGTCCCCCATCGGGATGTTTCTCACCGTGCGGGGAGTGAAGCGGATCAACCCCAACTACAGCCTGCCCACCTGCAAAGGCTTCTTCAACATCTTCCACCCCGTACGTATAAGCTAGAGCCTTCCTACATTAAACCTGAGCATAAGGGAGAAGCTCTTACCGGGGGGGTGGTTGAATGCTGGGACAAGTTGCCCAGAGAAGTTGTGGAGTCTCCATCCTTGGGGATGTCCAGAACCTGCCTGGAAGTGGTTCTAGGCAACCTACTCTGGCAGGGAATTTGGAGCTGATGATCACCCAGAGGTTCCTTCCAGCCTCAGCCCTTCTGTGATTCACACCTCCCTGCTCGTCTCTGTACAGTTTGACCCCGTGGCCTACAGGATTGAGCCCATGATTGTCCCAGATGTGGAGTTTGAGCCCATGTTGCTTCCGCACCACAAGGGCAGGAAGCGAATGCACCTAGGTGAGGAAAGGAGCCTTCCCCGGGCGCCGGTGTCCTGCACGTGCCGCTGCCCCGGGGCTGACGCCGAGGCCTCCTGCGTTTCAGAGCTGAAGGAAGGGCTGACCCGCATGAGCGTGGACCTCAAGAACAACCTGCTGGGCTCCCTGCGCGTGGCGTGGCAGTCCTTCACCCGCGCGCCGCTGCCGGCCGGCTCCGCAGGCCCTTCCCGGCCTCCCTCGGCGCTCCCTGCTTCCGGAGGGCAAGGCGTCTGGTCGGGAAGGGCCTCCTGGGACTCGCGGCACGCACCGCCGCCTTGGAAGGCAGCCCAGGCCCTGGCCTTTCCCTTGCAGCCCGGCTCCGCAGGCCCTTCCCGGCCTCCCTCGGCGCTCCCTGCTTCCGGAGGGCAAGGCGTCTGGTCGGGAAGGGCCTCCTGGGACTCGCGGCACGCACCGCCGCCTTGGAAGGCAGCCCAGGCCCTGGCCTTTCCCTTGCAACGCTCTTCTCCGAGAGCCAAGGCAGGGAGGAAGGGACCAAGTGCCAACCCAATCCCCCACCTGCAAGCAGATTCCCCAGGGAGAACCACTCCACCTTCCTTCCTGGCTGTCCCTTGGGAGAAGGGGAGGGCAGCTCCGCGTATTTGGTTATTCTCCGCATTTTCACAGCAGAAACAGCAGCAGCAGTTGTGGTTGAACCCCGACTTTTCCTCTGCTTTGTTCCTGTAGAAACGAAGCCAGAAGAGACGCCCGAGGCGGCGAAGGAAGAGGCCTCCCCCATCAACGTGGGCATGCTGAACGGCGGCCACCGCATCGACTACGTGCTGCAGGAGAAGCCCATAGAGAGCTTTAACGAGTATCTATTTGCACTACAAGGCCACCTCTGCTACTGGTGAGCTTCTCTGCAGCTGCTGGCCTTCAAGCTGATGTCTGACATAGCCAGAACGTCATCAGCTTTGAAGTTAATATAGTAAAAAGCCTTAATTGAGTAAGTAAGTGAGCTATGTAAAGTGGGTGGGTAGGGCCAGGGGGAGGAAACCAAGGAGCTTCTTTCTCGAGCCCATAAGCACCACGGCTGCCCTGAAGGAATGGGGAGAAGTGTCCCGCTCTGATTCCCATGTTTTTTCCTCCCCTAGGGAGTCAGAAGACACCGTTTTGTTGGTTCTTAAAGAGATCTACCAGACGCAGGGCATCACGCTGGACCAGCCTTTGCCAGGAAGCCAATGACCCAGCTGTGCTCTCCTGGCAATTTGATGTAAGTCACCTTGTCTACACCTTTCTTCTGAATTTTCTTAAGACCTTAGAAGGCAGTGGCCCATGTAAGGGAAAAATGGTTCGTATTTATGGCCCGTGCCAAAGGCAGGAGTTAGTTCAGGATGTTCTTTTCTGGCCTGTCAGCAAGTCTGGCCTCTTTCTTCTTGCACATGAGCGTTCTCGGGCACAAGGACAGCCCATAGACTTCTGCTGAAGATAAGGCCAAGAGCAATTGCTCGTGGTTATCATCATTTGCAATCAGCATGGAAATGACCACCTGTAAAGCCTGCACTTTAAGCCCCTGGACTAAACATTTTTTATACATAGATAAGGAACCACAACGTGAACCCTGCTCTTATTACAGCGTGTTTTCACCTTACTCTGCAGATTGTTGGGAGAGGGTACACTAGGGAAAACATTCATTTTTACTGTTTCTTGTGCTCTAAGTCCAATGCTGGTAATTGTTGGGCCAGTGCTGGGTTTTGGTCTGCTCCAGCATGGCTATTCTTACACTCTTCTTTTGCTTTCTTAGCTCCAAACCACCTCAGTACTCACCAGGAAAGTCCAGATTTCTTCTCTGCCTTCCTCTCTCCTCTGCTGCTGTGTCCTGCATGCTGCTTCCCAAGTACCTGCTGCTACCTGGAGCCAAGGGTGATTTTCTTCCATTTTGGGTAGAAAAATCATAGGAAAAACCCTTTGTCAAGCACACACACAGTACTTGCGCTGTGACTCCCTGTGGCAACACGTACTCTTAACCCTCTACCCTACAACTCGTGTGACCACCTTGTAAGTTATCACAGTGGTATGAACACAGACTAGATGTCTAGGCTAGGAACCAGCGTACAGGGGCCTGAAATCTGCTCCCAGCTTGTAGCTTGCAGCCTTTGAGAAAAAAAAAAGCCTTAAACACGCAGTTTTGAGAGCTGTAGCAGCCTTGCTGAGCAAAGGGGCCTGCTGCTCTCCATCAGGAGCAGGAGGGGATGCTGTCCCTCTCCCTCCTGTTGCAGAGAGGCTACTGTGGTCTTTGCACGGTGAAGAAGGTGCTCCAAGAAAGACTGCCCCATACAAACCACTCACGAGAGGCGTCTTTGTGAATACTTGAACTAGGCTTTGCTGGCTGCTGCAGAGCGTGAGTACGAGCTCAGCAACTAGACCCTTGGGCTGCTCCGTGCCACAGGGAACATCTGCTTCCTTCTTCATGACTACATAGGAAGGCCACAAGTCTCAACCCCTGCGGCTATGGGAAGCTAATGCTAGGAAAGATACCTCCAGATGAAAACTGTACCTGACTTAGGGGGAAGCAGCTGCTCCCCAGCAGGGTCCAAGCCCTGCCAGGAGCTTGGAGCAAAGCTCCCGTTCCCCTGCCGTGGGGCTCTCACATCGTGCCAGCCGGGCTCTGGCACTACTCCAGTTGTTGTTTCTGTTGTTAAATATATGAAATGCAGCTAGCAAAATCAGAGCCAGGTCATAGGGTTTGGACACTATGTCCTAATGACTCCACTGAGGAAATGCAAAGAGTTTTGCACAGAGTTAGGTCTGCGGCTCCGTGACGTGCGTTAGCTCTGCTCTGAGTGGGGACAGAGCCTCAGATGATCTGTCCCTGGTGACCAAAACCATCCAGGATGACTCACGGGCCAGGCTGAAGCCTCAGCCTCCGCACAGATGTTTCAGTGAGGTGCAAGGTCATTGCTCTGACGTGGCTGGAAACAGCCAAACCACTTTCCTTCCTACTGACTTTTGCCCTGTGTGGGTTAACAAGCCTTTTTTTCCACCCCCCGCTTCGGTTTGTTTGTCCTCTGTTGTACTTCATTATTTGCACTATTTAAAAGCTCTTGTTTGCAATCCACAACCTTCCTCCCACCCAGAAACAACTGAAGCTGTTCTTTACCTGACTGCAGAACACACATGCTGCTCAGTCCCAGCCTGAATTACTGATTGATTGCTAAAGCATCTCCTACAAGGGTATCAAAAGAAACAGTCTTAAGGGGGGGGTGCTGTCATGATCAGCTTGTTAAGTTATGCACTTTGTAAAAACACAAACATTTTAAATGTTATTTAATGTCTTTTCCAGTAAAAGCCAAAATAAACACACAGATGGCTGTGGTGTGTGCATGTCTGAGTGAGATAGAGGGGGGTTTAAGAACTTACATTTGCACAATTTCATGAGAAAGTTATTTCTGTAGTTTCTACTAAGTAAAACACAGGGTCCTAAAGGTTTATGTGACCCAAGTTGAAGATGAGGGGGTGTTTGCATTTCTATCCTGACCTGAGCTCACGGGAGGCTCTGCCACTCTCACCTTGCTGTTTGCAGAGATGTGCATTTAATAAAGAATATGCCTATCCGTGAGGGAAACTCGTGAGAAATAACTACTTACACTCGTATTCCCATAGAGCTGTGCCTTGGATTTCCCAGCAGCGTTCTATCCTTTGTCTGAGAAAAACAACTATAAAAGGATGCTCTAAGACACCATTTTCTGCTGAGTGTCACCTCTCTACACCTGTGCTGTATTAAAGCTGCAAAGAGAGAGATACAAAATAAATACCGTCTAGAAACCCACGCAGACATACTGAAGAAAGTGGCTTATACAGCAATAAACCCAGATATCACAGTTTTTAGTGTCACAGGGAATACAGCTGCTTTAGAAAATTAAATTTCTTTATTTGGCCAATTAGGGAAAAAAAAAAAACAAAATACAATCTTCCCTCTCCCCATATTAAATACATTGTTAAAGACTGCAACCTTGCACTTAATACTCTCGATTAACTCAACGGTCATTTAACAGATGTGCTTAAATTTAGGGCAAGGACCAGGTCTTGCACTTCAACATACTCTTTTCTATGAAAAAAAGGCTCAATTGAATCAAAGGAGAACATCTAATCATGTTTTCTGCATTTTTGCACTGTAAACTAGGCCTAAGATCAGCTATCCATACACAGGCATATAAAAATGGTCACATTTTTCTAATTTTCCTGTCAGGATCTTTTGTAACCAGGCATTCCTCTTGCAGGCCTGCATGCTGAATATCCAGCTCCCTCCAGAGCAGGTCCAAGGGAAGGGTTGCCTAGAAAATTTTGTGAAACTAAACCCAGCCTCCCGAGCAGGGCGCTGCAGACCCAGAATTCTTGTTTCTCGAGTTAACCCTCATTTTAGTCGCTTCTTGTGGACCACGAGCAGCCTCCCCAGAGCCTTCCCTTGCCCTATATTATACGTCCAGGTCAAAGCTGGAAGTCGCCGCCTGTTCTTGGTGCCCCGGCGGTTGCTTGGGCTTGCACAGGAGCGGCTTGTGGCACATGGAGTCCGTCAGCGGCGGGTAGTACTGCCTGTAGCAGAGGTAGGCGAGCACGAAGCCGAGCACGGAGCCAACCAGCACATCTGCGGGCAAAACCGGAGCAGAGGGAACTTCCATTAGCGTTAGAACCGTGTCAGCGTTCCCATAAGCTGCTTTTCATAGAATCATAGAATCACAGAATGCTGAAGGTTGGAAGGGACCTCTAGAGATCATCTAGTCCAACTCCTGCACACGCAGGGTCACCTAGAGCACGTGGCACAGGGCTGCGTCCAAGCGGGTTTTGAAGATCTCCAGAGAAGGAGACTCCACAACCTCTCTGGGCAGCCTGTTCCAGTGCTCTGGCACCCTCCCTGTTAAGAAATTTTTCCTTAAGTTCCTGTGGAACTTTTGGTGTTTCAGTTTCCGGCCATTTCCTCTAGTCCTATCAGTGGCCACCACTGAAAAGAGACCAGCACCATCCTCTGCACTCCCTCCCTTGAGGTACTTCTAGACACTGATTAGATCCCCTCTCAGCCTTCTCTTCTCAAGGCTTTCAGCCCGGCTTTCAGCCCCCTCGCAGCCTTCGAGGTAGCTCTGTGACTTAACACCTTACAGGTGACACAAAGATTTCCACTGATCAGCCCAACTTGGGCGCTTTGGGTTGCAGATGTCCCTGTGTGTGGCACTATGGACGCTGCCTCGCTCCGCATGATCCCGGTGTCCCCCGGGGCAGCCCCCGGCTCACCTTGCCAGTGGTGCTTGTAGTCGCAGGTGCGGGACAGCGCGATGAGGGTGGCGGAGAGCAGGGGCAGCAGGAAGGCGCAGAGCCGCAGCGAGCGGCCGCCGCGGCCGGGCACGAAGCAGCGCAGCTTCCCGGCCACGTAGAAGGAGCAGAAGGAGAGACCAGCAAAGGCGACTGCAAGAGAAGCAGGTCGTTTCAGAGACCCTCTTGGAGCTGCCCAGCCCGTTGGCATCCTCCTCCCCGTGCGCTGGATGGACCCACAGGGAGCTGCAGGAGCTTCGGGTCGCGTTTTATATCCCCTTGCTTTGCACGAGTGCCCAAAAGGGCCAGGGAATCTGGCCCAAGTTGCAGGGGTGACACAGCAAACCCAGCGCCCGCTCCCCAAGGGCTCCTGCTCCCTGCCCGGGGCTGAGGGAACGCTCACACGAAGCGTGGCCGCTGGGGAAGCTCTTGCGTCCCTCGGCCACCACGGCAGGGTCCCCCGTGCACAGCAGCTCCGCGTTGGCTCGTCCGTCTGGGAAGCAACGGTAAAAGAAGTCCGGCCGCGGCCTAGGGCAGAGGAGCAGAGCACGGAGCATTCCTGGACGGCGATTCCGCATTCCTGGAACGGCGCTCGGGAGCCTAGAGCTTCCACGGAGCGCCCGTGTCCAGGCGCAGTTCATTGCAACAGGAAGGTAACGCGACTTGAGCCTTGAGAAATGCTCAAGGGGGAACGTCCCCGGTTCCGTCCTGCCGGGGCCGGCAGAATTCCTTACGCAGGGACCAGGCGGCAGCAGGAAGCACCCCCAGCCCAGCGCTGCCCCCTTACCTGCCCACGACCAGCTTGAGAGCGTTGGTGACCACCCCGGTGAGCGCGAGCGCGAGGCTGGCGGCTGCAACAGAGCACGGGGGCGGCGTCGGCGCGGCCCTCACCGCAGCGCCCGGCGCGCACGGGAACCGCGGGGCAGCCTCACCGGGCACCTGCGGTTTAGCGCCCGGCGTGGGTGAATCCAGGGAATTCCGGAGCTCCGAGCTCACCTAGGCAGCCTTCCCGCGTGTCCTCCCGCTCCGCGCGCAGGAACAAGCGCGCCAGGCCCATGGGCAGCAAGGGGGCCAGGAAGGAGATGAGCTGCCCCAAAACGAGAAGGCTGTGAGGGGTCTGCGAGGGCAGACTGTAATAAACCCCCTCCAAAGCCCACTGTATTTAGAGCAAACTGCCTGTAAATCTGTAATTCCACATGGAGTTACCTTGACAGAGCCTAGAGACCAAAGGAAAACAGTTTCACTATAAATATTAAGAAATTCTGTTAAAAATGACTGCTCTTAAGCAAAACATTCTCCTACAGTGAAACATCATACTCTGCAGTACTAGGAATATGGGATGCAATATGGTTATGAAAACATGTGAAATGAATTTAGGCTTATTTATTAAAAATTAATAAGTGTAAAAGAGTTTGATACAGCAAAGTCTAAAAAGACAAAAACTCAGCTGTAGATGTCATTGGTTGGTAAAAACACAATGTACTGGCAGTATCACCAAACAGGAACTACACTTACGTGCAATAGATGCCCTTTTTCCCCCCCACAGCACTGCTTTAAAATAAAGAATTCGAGAAACAACAACCGGAATGAGCTGCAGGAACTTACAAACATGGGCACGGTGGGCACGTGATCCACTTCTACGTAGGGGTTCTTATAGAGCCACAGCTCCTCGGGCTGCACGACCCGCTCGAACGGAGGCAGAAACTCCATGATCCTGCAGGGGGGAGAAACGGAGAGGTTTAGGGCGAGGGGTTTCGCGCCCACGGGGGGTTCCGGCGGCTCCGCAGGAAGGAGCGCGCGGGGCCGAGCAATTCCGGGTGGCACCAGGAAGCAGAGCGCGGCCCGCGGCGCCGGGGAAGGAGGACAAAGGCGGCGGCGCCCGGCGGGACATTCAGAACGATTTATTGAAGTCAACCTCAAGCAAAAGTTCCAATCAGTGGAATGTCATTAAAAACCTTTCCAAATTAATCCTCACGGAAGCAAAAACACATCTGGATCCCGAAGTATTCGTAAAATAAAAAAGGCAACATCTCAGTAAATATAATGTACAAAAATTATAGGTTCCTACCATCACACACATTCAGTAAGAAGCTAAAATATTACAGGCAATTCTACGCGCTACCTAGTGGACGATAAAGCTACCTATGTACAGGTTAACCAAGCTTTACAGGGCTCACACTATGCAAGAGAACAGAGGCCAAACAACAAAACCCCCAAAATATTTTATATCTCCAAGTCTATGCGGCAACATCAAGTCATAATACAGGGATGCCCCCGCGGAGCAGGGCCAGGGAAACTTAACCCTCCCCTTAGTGTCAAGAGCTTCTAGTCGACCTCCCAAAACTCTTTTAAGATATTGACTTCAGTGAATATCGATGCTTCGCGAGTAGAGACTCGAGTGATTTCGGTAAAATAACATTTCACAGAATCTACAAAGTTTCTTACAGATTAACAAAGTCTACAGAAAGAACGACTCTACAAAGGTCATAGTTACAGGGAAGGATTACATGGAAATGGAAACAGAATCCGCAGGTATCCGTGTTGTGCAATATCAGCCGCGTGGAAACAAGTGGGTTAGTTCCTCGTCGCAACCCCGGGACGCACACCCTTATAGAGGACAAAAAATCCGGTTACTAGCCAGCTGGAACAGTTACTTGCCTTGTTTTCTGTGGCACCGTGATGGGTTTAAAAAGGAAAAAACGACACGAGAAATGAGATACAGTTCAAGCCATGGAGAGGAAACGCTTCCTTTTTTCGTCCAGTCTGTTGCTAAGCCAAAGAGATCAGGAATTCCTCGAAACGCTCCGTGCTGCGGAGATGCCGTAGGAAAAGGCGGCTTCGCCCGGAGCGCGCGGCGAGCGGACGCGGCTTTGGCAAACACCAGCCCGTTTTCCCTTTTGGGCTGTTTTCACATTAATTCCGGACGTCTCCTGGGCAAGAAGCAGATGCATCATCGCGACCCCCCTCTCCGGAGCAGCGAGGACCCGAATTTGCCACTCGGGCAGAGAAGACGAGAGGAACCAGCGCGTTTTCTCGGAGCAACATTTTCAATACATCCAAAGTCCCGGAGTGTATCGCAAAAGTGCAAACGTTTTTGCTACACAAAAATAAACGGCAGCGAAAGCCGATGGGAAACGGAAAGCGACAGGACACGGGGTCGGCAGGTCTCATGCAATACATTTCTTTAACACACATAAGTGAGACAGCTGCTTTGCAAACCTATCCCATCTGGCCCCACGCTGGACACGGGGAGCCAAAAGTAATGCCAGGAAAGTTAAAGACATCTCGAATGTAGTATACAAAAAAGTTATGTATAAATAAAATAATAAAAAAAAAGCTGTATAAGGAACTGCAGAGCTTCAAGTACGTTAAACCCTGAATTCAATGAGGCAGAGGTTTCAGTGTTAAAGTGACGACTTCGTACCAGCGTTGGACACCCCCTCTTCCCACCCTCCTCCCCAGCCCTACCCAAATATTTCTGTCAAGTTTCAATATATACAGATTTGATGCTTGCTGTTAATTCTATCTAGCAATTGTGTCTTTCCTGTTCTGCCCAGAAATTAAGATCTAATTAATTTGTAGCAGAAAGGCCAGAATGAAACATTCCAGCCGTAACGCTCGTTTTCAGGGATTCTCGGAGCCCACGGTGGTGATCCGAGAAGGGAATTTGCCCACCAAAATCGCCTTGGATTGCCTTCGTCCTGAGCTGCAAATGCCTTTAAGTCTTCCAGTCTCTCGATAAGACAGGTCTATACTAAGAATCCAAAAGCTCCAAGAATTCTTGCACCACGTAGCCAGGAAATTGGAGGAATGGGCCCTGGCTGGCAGAGCTCCTGCTCGGGCCAAGGCGCACGGCAAAAGCTCCAGGAAGCTGCAAAGTCCTGGGAATCCCCCAGGGCAGCTCGGATATTGCATTACTATACAGGTACCAGGCTCAAGAAGAGGCAACTACACCCCCAAACTGCCCAATCTTAGTCTTTATCTCACGTGAGAGGCTACAAATTTCATTCGACAGCTGCTTCCCCCACTCTGCTGATGCCAGTTAGCAAAAAAAAACCCTGTTAAACCTCTCCCTTAAGACAGAAATAGCACTTTTGTACTATTCTGCTTATAAAGATGTGCTTAAAATGTGTATTTTGACATTCTGTGTCACCATATAGAACAGACCCACTTCTACATCTTCGAATTAGATGTTTTCTTAGTTCAGAAAGTTTAAATCTTTGGAAAGTTTCACCTTCTCTCCACCACTGTGAAATCCGGTCCAAGCTCTGCGCTCGCGGCTGTAAAAGCACAGACCAACCTCCTCTTCTCCCTTGCAAGTCCAAGCTCAAACGCTGGCTGCTTTAATTAACATTTCTTTTGTAGAAAAGGAAAAGCAGCACCTGTGAGAAGCCTGAAAACAGAGTTAATCTGAATATCAAACAGGCCTCCTAACTCTTGGCAGCTTGCAAGTTTTTAAGCCTTCGGTGAAATGCTATATAGTATTGCAATATGTAGAATGCTGGGACTTTCCACGAGAAAAGTCGTTTGGATGTTCCCAAGCCTAATGCAAAATCCAAAGTAAACGGACCAGGCCTTGCAGACACTGGGAATGAGTTTGGAATTTCTGAAAAGGTTCGACACCCTCTGTAAGAGCTTAAAAAAAGACATTTATCACACAAAAAAAAGCTAGGAAAAATAAAATCCTTTTTGTAATTTTTCTTTTTTGTAAAAAATACCAAAATATAGCATTGCTTTCAAGCAAGATTAGTGTTTTAGATATTCACTTTAGTACTGACCTTAAGATGAAGTGCTCTGTGTAACCCATTAGCCCTCTGTGCCATCGACTGACCCAAAGGGACACCAACTTGGCCACCCAAGACACCCGACGTCGCCAAAAGGCACCTGCAAACTTGGGCAAACGGCCCCATCGGGTCAAATGGCACCCGAGCTGCCTGGGGAGAGTGTAGTGTATTTTTCTACTTTTAAATTGCACACAAAACCAAACATTTGTTCCCTTGTAGCTACATTTCAGAATGAAAAGGGCACTGGCCAAAGGTAAGACGTGTTGCCAACCCTCACAGCCTGGGGCTGAGATGTCACCGTGTCCCTGCGGGTGTAGGCGGTTCTCCAGAATCCAACAGCTTCACCAAGTGCCAGCAACACCCATGAACTCCTTTCACTCATGGCTATTTTCAACACCCTTTAGCAAAAAGCTTCCATCAAGTTAGCGAGTATCAGCATATAAACCAAAAGGACACTCTAACTAGATGAGGGCAGGGAAGATGCACGGTGCTTTCCAAAATTTGAGGCTAAGGAGGAGATTCACAAGGGATTAACTTCACTCAGGAGACACTTACCCTCCTAGGCTCATTGCCCAGCGAATGAATGGGGAAGGATAGGTTTTTCCAGGGAAAATTGGGAGCGGGTGCCTACCTGTGTCATTTCTGGCTGGAGGAGCCCGGCTCCCTCCTGATGGCAGAGGAAAGCCAAGAGGGATTCAGCTCCCAAGGCTGAAGTTGGCTGCTGTGAATATACCCCACTATGTAGATAGAGAAAATACCCTGTTCATCGAAGAAGTGCTCTTGGGGAAATAACTGTTTTTCCTTAAATCCATTAATAATGGAAATTAAAGTTAGAAGACTTGTCTCAGCAAAAAAAATACCCTAAATATTCCGTCAGAACACACATGCATACGGGTCGGATTCCTTAACAACTCCAAGTCCCTTTGAAGCTATTGGGAGAAGGTAATGAAGAATCACAGGACTAAGTGTCATGAAACAAGTGCAGACTCGGCAGACGACAGAGACACAAAACAATCCTGCAGGCAGCGAAGTCAGGGATGGTGCTTCCAGCCTGGAAAGGTCTCCAAACCCAGCAGGAAATCCCAGGTTAGCTGGGGCAGAGAGGTAAACGTTGGGCATCAGCCCGTTCCAAATCTCCTCCCCGCTGGAAACCCCCCTGATTACGGCTCTAAGCAAGGAACCATGATTTCTTTTTCGAAAGCACTAAACCTTGTGTCACAAACACTTCCAAAAGTCGCACACCTGATTTCTCATAGGGAAAGCTTTTCAATAATATTCATAAGTTAACACGATATACAGCCTACCTTCTCAAAATGCCTTTAAGAGATAAGTACTGGAATGGAGGCATTTCCCTGTCACCTGGTCTGAAGCCCACATCTGTCTTTATGGCAGCTGAATGTCACACAGAGTGGGAAGATTGATTCTTCTCCCATAAACTAGACATAAAAATGATGTTGGCTTTGCTATTTTTTTAAAGACACGCTGACTGATCGAAAGCAAATCCTTTAAAAATTAAATAAATAAATATGTTGCTATGCTTGGCTTTCTACACTCAAAGAACATATTTTAAACAGAATATTCTTCTCACTGTCAAAAAGGTCTACTTTGTTTTCTTAGGAAGGCCAAGATGTTCCTGTTTTCCAACAGTAAGAGCTGCTGTAGCACATTCAAGGGTAAAAGAAAGACCAAACAATAAAAAAACAAACATCACTGCCTGCTTCTGCTGGCTGAGATTAAATGGTCCCATTCCCAGTTCAAACAGGGCGGCTCTGATGATGAGGACTGAACGGGTCGGTAGCAGTCGCTTCCAGTTCATCACCTATTTGCCCCTCTTCTCCCCACCTTTGCCTTTCAAGCAAATTCACTCCTTTGCTTCTTCTACGGGATTCTGTGATTCCAATTTGCACTTGATCTTGTTCCAGTATTCGGGTGCCACGGGAGATTTGGGGTCATGTGTGGAGCAGCAGAGACGGCCATCCAACGCCGACGCCACCAAGGCCCCCTTGTCGTGATCTTTACAGAAGGAATGAGGGCAAAACTCACAGAATGAGACTGCAGGATTGCTACAGATGTCACACTGATGCCACGGACATTCCCACTTTCCTGAAGGAGGAACAAGAGAGACAGGAAGCTGAGATTAGGGCATTTGGGGGCTGGTACTGGCCTTTAATCCTTATTCCACCCAGTAATTGTTCAGATGAATGCAAACAAAGCTCCAAAAGTCAGTTCCTAGGAGAGTGGCTACATCCGTGTCTCCCTCACAAGAATCCGACTCAAAACAAGTGGTGTGAGAAAGACAGAGAGGCTACATTTAATATAAATGGATCCTGCAATTCAGCTCAGACACAGATGAATGCTCTTACCAAAAGGTGGCTGCGTCAAGTTAAGGCATAGGAGGTGGTATGCTTTGGGACAGTCCTTTTTGTCACACATCACCAGTTCTCCCCCATCTCCACACTGGAAACAGTTGTCTTCATGCATCTGCTTCTGTTCTGTTTTTATTTTCCGTTTCTTCTGCTTTAATTTTGCATTCTTCACCTTTTCCTCGTTTGCTGTTGCAAATGCTGTCTGGCAATTACAAACACAACGTGTGGTTACTTTTAAAGTCCATGCATTGAAATAAATATAATCAGTTTGGGGTTATTTAATTTGAGCAAAAGTCATGCAAATCTGCTCTAAAAAGTTTAAGCAGCATAAAGTCCATGCATTGAAATAAATATAACCAGTTTGGGGTTATTTGCATAACTTTTGCTCAAATTAAATCTGCTCTAAAAAGTTGAAGCAGCGAAATCCATCCACACAGATATAAAGTGATAATCTGGTCATTTTATGATACTAGGCAGAGAGTGCTCTGCAGTAATGGGAGGCTTATTTGCTCGTTCAGTTTCTTTCTCAAACAACACGATTTGTGTCACTGCTGTCCCCTGCAAGGGAAGATACATCACAAATGCAGACTGACATCAGGACGAGCAACTCTTTTGGAATAAAAAGCTTTTGTGAAAATTCCATTTTCATGCACGTACCTTTGGGCGCACTCCTAGAAAGCCACTGCAGTTTTCTGCTCCACAGTGGCATTCAGTCCTGCCATTGCCAAGGCAATCCAAATTGTAGTTAAATGTTAACTCCATTCCTAAAATGCAAAGAAAACCAGTTCATCCACACAGACCCTGACGAAAGACAGGCTTGTGACCATGCCACGCCATCAGGGGTTCTCTCTTCCTCAAGAGAAACTCAAGTTTCTGCAAATTTGGAAACTCTTCAGAATAGACCCAGATTATACATTTAGCCAGATTCTGAGGAAAGTACTACCCAATTTTGGTTTATAATTGCAATGAACGGCCATTCAGACAATTATGGGGCTGGAGGATCACAGGTGCGCTGAGGGACCATGGGAGATCATCAAGTCCAAACCCCCTTCCTCAACACAGGGTCAATGTAAAGAGGAAACTTTACCCAGACTTCTAATCACGAACCTCCGATTGAGACTGTATTTGCTTTTAACTTTTTCTTTGTAGACTACAAGACGGTAATGAATAAAGAAGTTCCTGTAAATGTTATTGTCATTACGTAATTTCTGAGAAGGAAAAAAAAATGTGGAGGCTGAGAACGTTCTCATTTTAAGGAGAAAGTAATCATACAAAAGAGTGTCTTTTTTTTCCTTTTTTACCTGCAGGAATATCACAAAGAGCAAAGAGTCCGACTCTAATGTCACCATTCACTGTCCATTTCTGCGTTTCACAGTTTGGATTACAACTATGGTTCATAAAACGAGAATAATTCCCCTTTGGGCCAGCATCTATTATTCGGTCCTTCAAATAGAAAGATAAACACATGTTTAGTACTGACAAGGAAAAAGAAGCTTCCTGATGACAAGCACTATGCATTGAATAGTGCCTTATAAATTCATTTCTCTACTCCACAAAAAAATAAATAAATAAACAGCCCAACTAGACCAAGACAAAACCAAGACAAAACAAATCCATAAATTACGTGCTCCCTAAAGAGAAGACTTCAATATAGGTACAACAGCTAGAAAGGAAACTCATGTGGTTCGGTCTAAGGAAAAGGTCTCAGACTGAAGTACATTTCAGGCATGGAATGATGATTGTGTTTGGATTTTCTACCTACTTTCAGCCGTAGCACAGGTTATGCTGGACAGAGATGTAATATTTACCTTAGTAACAGTTAACATATAAAAATTGGTGACACTGTTTTCATGGGCACGCTTGATCCGCAGTCTGCACTCTTCTTCATCAATTAGCTCACCAACGTATTCGTTCACAAATTCACCCTGAAAAATAGAGGGAAACCCTTTTTTTAATCCATACTTACTGCTTCTTATGACTACAGATAAAGGGAAGCAGCACAGAAAATGATGCACTTACTATCATGTACTGTAATACTCACAAAAGGCATTAAAATTCTAGCATCTAGTAGGTAATACATGATTAAGTAGATGTGCCCACTGGTTATTTCTCTTCTAAGCTGTAACCACACTCAAAGCAAAAAAGGCAGTACTAGAAGTAACAGTTTCTGTATTCAGCAACAGCTTCAAACCCTAGTAACTCATATCTGGCTGTTCCCTAGAATCCTTTTGTCTCATGCTTAAAAGAGGATAACATTTTGTTCCAGACTCCTCTCCCTCTTTTCCAGTAGTCGCTGAGAAAACACAGCCGTGCTCTTTTCTCCTGGAAGCATGAGGCAGTCAACTCTTCCCTTCCATCACCAGAATTCACAAATTCACAATCAACTGAAAATCATTTATCTGAGCAAATACCAGTTAAGACACCGATTCTGACAAACCAACTGAGGGGATTTCACTATTACTGCTTCACCTACAGAAGTTGCCTATCTTTGTAATACAAAACACTGAAAGTGCTGGAATTTTTGCATGCATTTGCTTAAGGGTCACAAAGTTGCAGCGTTCTCGCAAATGACACCGTGCTAGTGGCTGGCACACATTCGTCCTTGGCAGTTCTACCTTTTTAATGTTCCTTTTTGTCCTGAGACCCCATCCACGTCGCTCGGTTTTGATGATTTCAGCATCAGGGTAGAGTCTTTTGGTGAAACACTGGTTCTGGCAGCGCTCTCCCGCCGGGCAGACCTGGGGGTGGCACTCGTACTGCAGCATCCTGTTGAGACACTCCGATTCCAGGCCACAGGGGTTCTCATCCGACGGCTTGCAGTTACAGCGAGGGATTTCTGACAGATCAGCCACCTGGATCTGAACCTTCCCTATTACTTTGTTGGACTGCAGGACAAAGAGAAAAGAAAGAATAAATGATGGAGTCAAAGCACAGAGCACGAGTCATCTTTCTTTGAGGTCCCTCATCTGACCGGAGAGGGCAGGCGATTAATTATTACGTAGTTATTTTCCCACTAAATCCTTTCTGCAGGATTAGCGTGCCAGGACAAACATACTCCGCTGCAATCCAGCAGCAGATACAAGCATGAGCTTTTACAGGTGGCACCTACTGCCACTCCGTTGTTAACTCCAACGGGGACACACAGTGTTTGGAAAGGCCAGGAGTCAGTCACATATGTAAAGACCAGCAGATAAAACGCACGACTCCAGGTCATGAGTCACTCCCCAGCACTATTATTGGTTTAATGACCCCTTTAAAGCACGCCAAGTTTATCAAATACATCCCTGGGACTTCTTTCAACTTACTTTAATATGTTTATAAGGTGGAGGTTTCCTTGAATTCCTTTCAATTTCTAATGCTTCTTTACTCTCTCTTTGTGCTTTCAGTTCCTGGAAGCGTTTTGCTGCTTCTTCAAGTGCTGCGCAAGGGAGTTCAAAATAGGAAGCAATTAGCACCAGCTACTGTTAATCAAACATGTACAATTATATATTTAAATGTGTTTTTTCTTTATAAAAAGAAGCGAGGAACTCTATGAGCAAAACACAAGCTAAAAATGAGTTATTGCAGTAACATCATGAAACTCCCTCCAATCGGTACTGCCCAGTAGTTACTGAGACACTGAATGATGATCCCATGCATTAGAGGCCAAGCTCTGTCTTAACATTTCCCAATTTGTGGAAGAACTGAACTTGCCCGCAACGATACACAATGGGGAGGCACTTAAAAGAAAAATATTTTTATCTGCAGTCAAGGGATCTACATAATGTTTGCAGTTTTACGTGAACACAGAACACTAGTCACATAATATTCCCATGCAGGTTAAGTGGTGATGGAGACACAAACACGTGGAACTTTTGTCATAAACCACTATAAACTTTGTTTGATTTTACCTTTCTTGAAGGTCTTGTTAATACTAGTTTGCCCCTCAGCAAAGCTTTTATCTCCTTCAACATAAGGGAAAACTCTGCCCTGGTGTACCCAATAGTAGTCATGTGAACCAAAGAAAAATACTGGGAAGTCCCCGATATCATGTTTGAGGCCCTGTATGTTGAGAGGCACAGACCTGGGATTGCAGATCTCTGCTGGCCACCACCTGAAAAAGCAGAAAGAGAAGTAAAAGTCTAAGTTCTGGGAAGCAGAGGAAAGTCTCAGTCTCTGAATCTGTATGAGTTGTGAAGTAAAAGCTACTTTGCCTTTCTAAAAATAAAAATTGAAATATTCTGTTCTTATGCAACCAAGGCTCCCTCTGGCAGCACCCTGCAGAACAAAAAACGCTTCATTCTCAAAGTTCTAATTCCAAATTTTGGAGAAGGCTCCTAAAAACCAGTTCTTGTTTACTAGCACCGAACTGATTGGGATGATTTCTGTGCAACTCTGGAGAGTAGTTTAAAAGTGCCCAAAGCATCAAACAACGCTAGGGAACTTGCCTGTAATTTCCAAGCTTGACCCAAACAATCTGCTTGTAACGTAGTTTCTTGCCAGCTTTACAGTCATTGCAATTCCAGCATCCTTCAGGCATTTCAATGTTGAGACACTCAGGGTGAAAGGAAGCTGGGCAGGATTCACAGCACAATAATTTCCCACCTTTAAACAAAGAAAGCCTGTTTTGGTTTATAGAATACGGATTTGCTTTCCCCTGTGCACAGCAGTAAGTATTAAATTTAAGTTACACATTCAGGACTTTCATCTGCCTCACAGCAAAAGAAAGGGATCAAGCCAAACTTCCAATGCTGGATTAAAAAAGAAAAAATGCCCAATGTTCTTATCTCATGTTTAGGTTGCAACTCTTGACTGCACCAAAGGCGAATCCAAAGAGCAAATGAGGTTTTAAACATGAGGTAAGTGGCACTGGAAGCAACATTCCCCAAGGAAGCACTGCACAGGGAAGCAGCAATAGCAACTTCTGTGCAGCGTGGCCAACACTAAATGACAAATAACCAAATTTTAAGGAAAACTTTTCCATCAACATTGTCAGGACTGAATCCCTTGGCAATCAGGCAGTGTGCATGGAAAAAACAAAACACAAAACCCCGCAGCCTATAGGTTGATCATTGCTTTTCTGGACCAAAAAAATGGTATAAAATAAGAATTGTAACAAGCCTGGGTTTATTCTTTGAAAACTTTACCTGTATGAGTGCTGTAAATTCAAAAAGAGATACTGCACAAGAGCTCTCCCCAGCCCCAAAGTTCCCTCTGTGGGCAAAGGGAAGCGGAATGCACCGGGGTTAAGATTATTTCTTAAATTTTACACTTATTTGGACAAAAGTTCTTTTGGCCAGTTTATGTTCCAGCTGATGTAGTAGCTGTGGAGAGCCAGAGCACATCTCTAAGGCACCATGAAGAAACACAACAGCTCATAAAACAGCACTTGTTTATATATATATATATGTATATATATACACACACACCCATGCATAAATATATATGGATGTGTGTATGTATATATGTATATAAATAAAAATTTAATAAGTTTTGGGGTCTCAGACTAAAAAATGGGTGGGATTTGAGTGCATTTAATGCAGTTTTTGACCACAAAATCAAAAGGTGTGTGAATGGCAGCATTTAAACATTTATCAGAAAATTCTGTCCACCTATAGACTTTTAAAAATCTCATTGCATTAATCAATTGCTGCATATGGCAATAAGCATTCCTTAAACAAATCAGTGACATGATCAATACTGTATTTCCTCTGCTAAAAAAACACAATAAAATTCAACCACGTGGACTTTCCTGAGCTCCCCAAACCCCCAACAAAGTTTTAACTTTCAAAATTTTGCAAATGTAGTTTCAGAGGAAATACAGACCCCGCATGAATTACTGCAACGATATCCAACACGGTAAAATGCCAAGCGATGCAAAACCAAACCAACAAAACCAAACACAACTTTCAGTGCTAAGCAAGAGGAAAATAAATAACAAAACCTTGCTCTCAGGATGCATTAGTAAAATATTGGTCAAGCTAAGCAGAGGGCTCAAAATAATTTTTGTTTTCAGGAATTACAGAAAACACTCACAGCCATCAGTCTAAGAGCATTCGAAATAACCTCATTTCTGAAGGGTTAATTGGGCACCATTTCTGAACCCTCTTGGGGAACCAAATTCTGGGGGGAAGAGAGCATTTCCTCCGGGTACTTTTTATGGACATCAGAGTCTCTCTCTGTAAGGTATTTGGGGATGTTCCAACATGACGTGCGCCAGCGTAAAACTACCTGTTTCCTGGAGAAATCCTCTACTTTCCTACTTTCAGAGCTGCAATATTTTTCCTTGCAGGGCTGCAACCCTGCGTGCTCGAGATGCAGCATCTCCCGCCGCTCGCAGCCAGGGGCCTGGGGGCAGCCACACGACAGGAGGGAGCACTTGGTCTCCCAAACTAATCCACAGGGAACACCAGGACTACAGACACCTACCCAGGAAAAACCTTGCTGCCCTCCAACATCTCTGGGTTCCCTCTGAGGGGCAACAGTACCGATCCACATGCAGCCTGAAAAATCCTTTACTCTCTCAGGGTTTGCAAGCTCTACCTACAAAGAACTGAAACAGAACTCCTCTTCTTCCTCGTATAAAACCAATTTAAGAAGCTGTTTTTACCCAGGAATTAACAACATTAAGCTCTAGTTGGCTCCTCTTTGCCTTGTTCTGCAAATAGCTTCCCCGAAGTCAGAATAAAAGGTTCTGTAGCTCACCTGGGTTACCCTCTGGCACGGAGAATTTAGTGACAGTAATTATTTTAAGCCCTTTTGTAATTAAAAAAAATTGCCAACAACATGAACACACGCTCACAATAACCAATGAGTGAAGGTTACTAAAAGCAACAAGTGTTGCTTGACAAGCAGACATTTCTTGTTTGACTTAAAGAGAAAGAAATAATAGAGAAAAGCAAAAGTAAATTAAAGAGAAAGAAACTATTTTGGTTACCTTTCTCACATTTCTTTTTGGAAGCTGACGAAGGAGGAGGAATCATAGGTAATTTCATCAACTCAGCACGATTTGATTCATTCAGTAGGTAGTGGGACTTATAGGCATATGAACTGAACATGGGGTCTGAATGATCCTGCACTACCAACCCTATACGAAACAAACAGAAAGAGATGAGTTGCAATGAAACTACCCATGATTCCATAAAGGAGAAAATAAAATAAATCAAATGAACACCTCTAATGCATATATACATACAAGGGTGAATGGAAAAGGGAAAAAATGAAGAAAAAGAAAAGGCTGACAGAAAAGGTTTCTTTACTAACGAAGAGGTTATGTGTTGGAGAGGCTAAATTCAGCCGCATCTGGAAAAACCTACAATGAATAAGCCATTTCTGAGTGGAATTTCGATTGTGCTTTTAGCTTTGCTATGCATATTTATGGAAAAGCACAGAAAAAGGCATTTGATTTTAATGCTGTGTGAACCACCCTCCCTCCCACCTGAAACAGGCCCCTGTTAAGGGTTAAGACAGTCACTGCATCCAAGGGAATGCTGTTGGTTGGGGCTACAAAGTGAAAAACCAAAACCTACGTGAGGCCCCACAGGACCAAACACTCACCATCCTGTCACACTGCTACAGACCTGATCTCCAAGGTTTCACCTACAGTGTGTGTTTTGTCTTTATTGCTGAATCAGAGAAAATGAGATGAAACAAAAAGCCCCCCAAAAAGGGGAAGGGGCCATTGGTTCTGCAAAGCACCTGAGGCAAATCAACAGACAAAATCCACCCTATGTGATTTAAGGAAAGCGATACCAACCCTTCAACCCCCAAACTATCAAAGTAAACACTTTGCAGCAGTCAATGCCATCCTGCTTTCCCCTCCTCTTGCACTTCAAATGATGCATTTGTTCTTTTTCTTTCTCCCACGGTGCTCCAAGTAGTTTAGACTAAGGCTCAGAAGAGCACGGCCAAGAACCCAAAGCAACTGCCTAGCACCCAAGACCCAAGAAGCAGGAGAGGAGCTATGGAAAATTCCCAAATTCTTCCCCTTGTGACACAAAGCCAAACTGAGGGGTGCCCAAAAAGCCGGTATAGGGAGCAGGGTGCCTGCCTGCACAAAAAGCACGTCCTCAACGGGGTTCATAAAACAATTCCCAGCTTCCAAGTACGACCCGGACTTAGGCAACTACATGAACTAGAAAGGGCTCAGAGAAGGATATTTCAAGATGCGAATTCCAAGTCTTAAGATCTACGGTATTGCCAGTATCTGGGAATGAGCAAGGTTGAACCGTTCTACAGGTATTCTGATATCTGCATTCCTCCACTTTGTACTTAAATCCAAACCATTACTGAAGTTTCTCCTTTCTAGTACCAGCTCAAACTTATCAGCCACCCATGTGCACATAAACCACACGTTAGGAGGAGGATGTATGTGCCATATCATAAAACAGATGTCAAAGAGCAGCTACATTTTCACCAAAAGTCCTTAAATAGGTGCTGGCCAACAGGAGGAGGAGGCCTCTATTTTATGCCTTTGGGTGCCGTGTACACAGTCAAAACTCGGACAAAGAAAAAAAACCAAGAGATTCATCTTCACAGGCATCCATAACAAGTACTGTGGATTTATAAGTTATAAAGATCTGCTATGAAGAAACAGCATCAGGATACCTGGATCTTACAAGTCAGCTTCAGACATCCTCGGGAGCTGGTCACAGCTTCTGAGAAACTGCTTTGAATCACACAAAGCACCGAGTACTGCAGCTTACAGCTGTGTTTCTAAACCGGTAGCAAATCAAAGGTTTATGGAAAAGCCCAGTTCTAGAAGCTTGCCATTGCTTTTCATTCATATCCTAGCCCAAAGGCAGCTTTCACGATGGAGATTAATGACATTTTCGACCTCGGCACAACCTGCTAGTGGCCAAGATCTCAGCACCTACCTCTTGTGCCCCAGAACGAGGCACCATCCTATGCACAGACCTGTTTGCACAGACTAAAACCTTGTAAAGTCAAATCTCTAACCCAAATGTTCAAACCGAGGCACATGCACAGAAACTGGTCTGTCAGACAGACCTCGATGCCAGACTAACCCCAAAATTGGAGATAAAAACATAAAACTGCTCAGATGGAAATATTACCAAACTTGGTCTGCCTACCACAGAAACAGCATCAGCATTTGATACAAAATGCCCCAAAGCATCTATATGCTAAAGAATTTTAGAATGTTAATTACACAGTTTTGGCTAACTGTGTTTCAGCGACACAGCAATTGGCTGTGTATATGTATATACATACATAATATATATAAATATATACACACTTATTTATATATAAAACTCTGCCATAAAAGAGCATAAAGACACACGCAACATCATAAAGTTTCCACTAAACCTCCAGCTGAATGAACACAGGACGAATCAGGATTTATCCTATATTTCCACTCTTTACTAGTTAGTGACTTTCCAAAGCTGTTGAAAAGAATACACCCAACATAAAATACTTGAAATACTGTGTAATATGTACATTGCTACTCAAAAACCTAATCATGATACTACTCTGATTCATCTAAGAATCACAGAATGGTTGAGGTTGGAAGGGACCCCTAGAGATCATCTAGTCCAACAAGAAATCACATGTTTGCATTTTGTGAATAAAACAACTGATGCCCCCAAACTTTTCAACCCTTTCAACCCTTTATCTGGCAGAAGTCAAGTGACTGAAAAGCCATAATAGTAATCACTGGGGAAAAAAAATAAATGAAAAAAAAAAGAAAAAGGAACTTTAGCATATGGAAAAAAAAATCAACATAAAACTTATTTACATGGTATTATGCAAATGTTTTCTTTCAAAGTTCTCAAATGTGATGGTTGCTATAAATTAAAATGAATTCTTCTAACTCACAAGTACATCCTACCTTTTGAACTTAAATTAAACAGTTTTAAGTTGCAAAGCAATCCCATTCTGCTTAAGAGGTTGTGAATAAGGAACACAGCACTCCAAATACCCACTTTTTCCCACTGTCAACACAAGCATCTATGGCTATTTCAGAAAACCCGTTATTAAGGGCTGAAATAGCCAGCAGAAGTCTAACAAGAACTGTTTACTATATTGAAGGAAAAAAAAAGAGGAAACACTAAAATCCAAGGAGAAATCCCCCCAAAAGTTCCTTATGAAATAGATCATTTTTAACCACTGAACTGTACAAGTGACCATAGAACTATAAACCAGAGAGGAAAAAAGAAAACCAAATGCGCTCACCTCTTGCACAAACGAAACAAAAGCCTACATTTACAGCTGATGAGGAGTGATTCCTTTTGGAATGGTTACTACAGATGAGAATGTGGGATGACACAAACAAGCTTCCTGCAGCAATACAGCCATCTCCTGAGTGATAGGCAATGGGACATCTGAAACATCTCACCATGCGACCTGTTTAATATAAATGCAGAAAAAAAATGCACCATGTCACCCTGGAATCAGGATATGGTAGGAGACACCACACAGACAGATGCAAGATTGATTTTTATTCCAATCGGAGTACTAAAGAGAGGCATTTACATATTTTTTTTTTTAAAAAAAAAGGTTTCACTGAAGTTTAAAGTTAACTTAAATTTTAAAGCTGTGTTGAAAATAAAACAAACAAACAAAAAAAACAAAACACACCATGGTTTTAATCTGTTTTTAAACCATGTTAAACCTGGAGTCTGCTTGTTTTGTTCAAACATTTTGGTTTGCTTCTAAAAGGAGAATTTGCTTCTGAAAAATAACTGTTCTACAGGCCACTGGCAAGCATCTTCCAAAGAGATTCTTCAACCTTGCACAACTAACCTTAGTTGCTGAACGCTTGGGCCTGATGTAAAGGCAAGTAGATGTTACAGACCCAGGTGCACTTCAAAAAGAGGTTTCAGCTGTTTTCCCACCCACGAGAGATTCACATTAATGATACCACTAAAAATGCTCCTTCCTACATGCTGCGCTACAGCGGGTCAAGTTCTTTTCGTGGTTATTGTCATAGAATCATAGAATGCTGAAGGTTGGAAGGGACCCCTAGAAATCATCTAGTCCGACCCCTGCACACGCAGGGTCACCTAGAGCACGTGGCACAGGGCTGCGTCCAAGCGGGTTTGAAGATCTCCAGAGAAGGAGACTCCACAACCTCTCTGGGCAGCCTGTTCAGGGCTCTGTCACCCTCACTGCTAAAAAAAACTGTGTAGTTTCCTCCCGCTGCGGAAGGGTGCTCTCACCTTTGCTGGCTTTGTGGATGTCCTTGTCCACGGAGCAGGCCGTGCAGCAGTGCTGCGGGCAGCGGAAGCCGCGCGACTCGAAGAGGGCCGTGGCGAACTTGCGCACACAGGCCTCGTGGTAGAATTTACCACACGTGCTGACGGAGCAGCGCTTCACGTCCTTGCCAGGGAGCTTGCAGGAAAAGCACGTGTGTTCCCCTTGGAAGAGAGCAACGGAGACGACGGCAATTTAGTTTTGATCCCGACCTTACGAAAAAAAAGTTATTCGGAACAGGAGAGTGCTGCACTGGTTCAAGCTACATAGATGCCTTTCCTTAAGCAAGTCCATTACTATAACCCACAACAACTATATAACTGGCATTAAAAATAAATCCCTTATTCTGATTACATGCTGAATAATGTATTACCTGTTCTCTTACCAGGTATTCATCATGTAGAAAATGACAATTTGGCCTCAGAAGTTAAAAATAAATAAGTAAAAACCCATGCCTGAACATTAGAATCTTTCAATACCTATGTATTCCGACCAGGATATGGCTCCTCAGAAGAGTTAAATCCCCATTTTTCAGACATGTGAACACATTTACCATTTTTACACTCGGCGCAGACGAACTTCTCCTCAGGCACCGACTTCAGGCCAAGACACTCGACATGGAAGACCCCGCAGCACTCGCCTTCGCAGGACACCAGAGACTCGCCGGAGCTTTCGCAGATCTTAAACAAGCAGACAGCTAGTCAGAGAAGAAAGGGTATCCGACATACTTAAACGTGAACAACTATGAGATGTTAAACCAACCAAAAAGCAAAAGAAACCATCGCCTCCCCAAAACTGGCTGAGATCTCTTCAGCGCTACAACATGGCGGAAGCATCGGCCTATGTCTCAGGGTTGACAACATCTAGGGGATGCAGACAGGCAGTTACTAGATTATTTTTCCTCCTTTCTTAACGGGCAGTTAGGAGAGTTACTACATCTGGACTCACATTTTCTTGCAATTCTAAAAAGTAAGAGTTTAAGAGCAGTTTTTCCTCACTGTCCATCAGGAAAGCGGTCAAATATTTCTGTTTTCCCCTCAGAACTACCATAAAGCTCTCACTGCCCTGTTCTGAAAGGCTACCTCAAACTTGCACATGGAGCAGAAACTGGCATGTAATTTTCCTGTGTTTGCCAGTACGGATTAGATTAAAATATCTGAACTTTCTGGCATGTAGAAGGTCTTAAGAGTCACTTCTAGAGCATTAAAAAAATAACCATAAAAGCCTTGATACTTCATATAAAATGTCAAATTATGAGACAGATAAAGAGGTATAATTTGAAAAAAAAAAAGAGTATCAACTCAGATTACTATCAGGGTACATTTCTTCAGAGGCTCCCTGCTTACCTGACAAACAGTGTCTTTTTTATTCGTTCCAGTTCCTCTCCTGGATAAGCTGGAGTCCACTGACTGCACATCGGAAGCATCCGCATCAGCAGTAGCTGATGGGCTGTCTGAACGTTTTCCAAAACTACCCTACAAAAGGGAAAAATTCCAAGGCACTCTGAGCCAAGATGCTTTCAAAGGACAGTCACACTGTGAAGAAAAATATTTAAGGCATCACTGCCTAAAAGATCAGTCAGTATGTTAAGAAAGTCAAAAGTTCCTTGAAGATTGCTGAGCTTCACTATAATGATAGAAGAAATACTGCCTTCTGATCACATCTTTTACTTGCGCAAGCCAAGAAAAAGATGCTGATTTTTTCTCTTTTCAGCCATCCCTCTGTTTTACACCAAAATAGAAGAGTAAAATACACCAAAATAAACCAAATTCCCCAATTCCCAATCTAGCAACTTTCCAAAGAGCCAAACAAAACAGTGATACGTTCTAGGAAAAGGAGTAGCAAAATTTGTAAAGAAAAATTGTATCTTTTTTAATTCCAACATAGGGGAAGAAGAAAAAGATTATGCTTTACTTTTTAGATAACAAGAATTATATCTCACAGATTTAGCAATATGCAAACAAAGAGTTTGTTTTACCACTGACCAGCGAAACAAGCTACATACTCTGTGAGAAACAACATAATTTTACCTGTAAATCATTAAGTCCTCTTGAGTCAGAGTCAGATGTATCCCTGTAAGCTGAGCTAGTCAGCTCTACGTCAGTTGAGGCACGACTCCTTTTCTTTAAAGGTTTACAGGAATCTGAAATCTCGCTGGCACCTTAATATAACGTACCAAAATTAGTCCTAAAAGATGCTCTCAACTCTTTTTTCTTAAATGATGAAAAAGATAATAATTTATTTCTCTGTAAAAACCAATTAAATGAAAAACAGTTTAGGATGATCTTTTGAGAAACTTGTGGGTATGCTGACAAAGTGGAGGAGGCTACTAAACTGTCTCTAATACTATAGAGCATAAATCCTCAACATACCGCCTCTCCATCATCATCTTTAACACACAGCTAGGCAAAGGCATCATCACCTTATTTTACTTTCTGCTAGGTTACAAATCCAGGAGAAGGAACTAACCTCACACCTATCTTCCCAACTAGCACTGCAAGACAAAACCACCAACACCAAAAAACCCACCTCACAAGAAAATTTAAGATCAATGTCTATCATAATGACCCTCAGGAAGCATTAAGATCTCTGTAGTTCATATGGACTGCAAGCCATTAATGAAATATGAGGAAGGGCCAGCACATTTTAACAGAGTTTATGTTTGGGAAGTCAACTCACCTTTCTGCAATCCTGTCTTCACTGCAGTCAGTGGTACCATTTCAACCTGTTTGAATAGGAAAATCCATAGTTAAAAGAGCAGAGGAATTTTTTCCCCTAGTATTAAAAAGAAAACATTTAAGTGATTAGCACATCTGAACTCAGATGTAGTCTGTCATCCCCTTCTTAGCGTGAGCCTTCTGGTCCTGTCGGGTTTAATCCTAGCTGCCTAAGCTGAACACCAGGAGCCAAGGCAGCCATAGGAGCACTAGTAAGGTCCTTTCCAACTACTCCCTTTGGGCATGAAGATGAGAGGAAAAGTTTCTCCGTGTCCAGCAGGCACGAGCGGGGTTCTTTTTGGCAGCCAACACTGATGCTTTTGTAAAACCCCACACCTGGGTAAGTACAAGTTTGACCTTAACAGGTATGACACTCGGGTTAGTGAGACACTTAACGTATAGCCATTTAAAGGCACTTCCACCAAGCATGCACTCTGGAGCTTCTGGGAACATCAACATTTCTCTGTATAGAGTGCTGCAAGGCCCACAAAGATGGAGCTACCGACTTCGCACAGAGCATTGCAGAGCTCTATACAGCTGGAAACTCAATGTCAGGATGGACTTAAGCAGCTACGTTTACGCTCTTGCAAAAGCACTTCAAGTTCTTGACCCTACAGCAGAAGGGTAAGTTTAGCAACTGCTCTGCCACTGGACGTGTAACGAGAGAATTTGGCGACTGGCTCATAATTAGAGAAGAAAGTTGTTTCCTAAAGTCTTGCTTTTAAGGTTAAGAATTACAAGATTTTTTTTTAAACAATGTGGTTACATATGCATGTAGAAACACATTTAGTAAATATTTAAGGATTATTCTATAATTTTTTTAAAAAATATTTTATTTTGTTGTACAATAGGTAAAAACATACAATAGAAGGATTTGTATAGGATACATTTCGTAATACAAATATAAAATCTAAACAATCACTTTTATTTCTCTACTACTCACTGTAACAGTAGCATTAACATTTTGTTTTTCCCATTAATTGTACTCGTTCCAGTTATAATTTTATACCAAGTGGTTGCAGACTAATTTGGGAATCAGTTGCAAGAAAACTTGACTTTGGGTAACAAATATTGTTGCATAATCGTAAGAAGTTAGTACTTTTTTTTTTCTTTTTTTAATATAACTTAATACATTCAAGGTTATGCGCATTACAGTGCATCTGTGTTTAAGTTTTAGTCATACACTTTTCCTGAGAAAAGCAATTTTATGTTCATAGTCTTAGTTAGCTACATAATATAAGCATAAGCAAAGCTAACTGGGATCCATGAAGTTCATATTGTTGGTTCTTATACCTTTGTTAAATTAAGAAACATTTACAAACATAAAATCACTCATTTGAAAATACGGAGGCTGCAAAACCTCAGGACGAGGGGTTTAAGGGACGTCAGATACCTTACGCCCAAAGTTGCTTTAAAGTTTCAGCAAGAAACTTTTTAAAGTTAGAATATTCTTCTGCTGGACACAGAAGTAAATGCTATAGCATAAAAAGGAGAAAAATAGGCAAAATAAAAAAGCAATAAGGTCTACCTTCAACCTCTGAAATGAACGAAGTGCAAAAAATAAAGTGTAAAGGGCAAAAAATAAATTAGAATCAAACAGATAAAAACATCTTCCCCCCCTTCTCATAATAAATCTTTAGCCGGACCATCCCTTGTTAAAAATGCTCATCGAAAAAAGCTGTATGAGGAAACAGTTTTATATAAAAAATTCGCAGGTTTCAAGTGGAGAGACTCTTACAGAGGGAATATTGAATATGTAAGGAAAAGAACCAACAACTTTTGACAAACTTGTTAAGAAAGTGTATTCAGTATTTAATGTTAAAGTATGTCCATCTGCTCAACTTCCCTATTCATTTCCAGATTGTTTGTTTGTTTTTAATTAAAGCAACAACATTTGTCTGCCTGACATCCAGATTAAAGGAATGCCCTGTACATGTTAGATCTACTTAAGGAAAAAAAAAGAAGTATATCCCAGAAGATCTGTTTTTCTGATGTCTGCCAACATAAAAGTCAAATTATTCATCTTTAAGTTAAATCATTCTTAGAGTCCATTTTCAAAAGTGGTCAAATTAATCAGTCTAATTTCATTTGAAAAACAAAACCTCAATACAAACCAGCAGCTAAACCAAGAGCAAGAGGAAGGAACCTGGTGGCAATTCCATCAAAGAAATTACTGAAACAAAATCACTTTGCTCATAACAGAAATCTCAAAGGAAACATGGCACGTTCATTAGGAGTCTTGCATCATTGAGTTCCCATTATCCATAGCCTGACTGATACTGTGAAGATGCCAGTAGCAGAGTCACAGCAATGGTTTTGACAGGGGGATTTCATGAAGGATAGTCCAAAACGAAACCCGATGGGGAAAAATGGAGAAAAATAAAAAGGCACCAATATAAGCCACAACATTTATGAATACAATATATTTTAACTCTCTACATGGAGGAAGCCAACCTGCTCCTTTTTGATCTTCTTCTTTGGCACAACTTCAGTGGATTTCTCAGACTCGGAGCGGGTTCGAATCGATCTTCTCTGTTGCTTCTTTTCTACAGAACCTGAGGAAGCAAAAAGGTTTCTATTACACGATTCTTTGTACATCAGAGCTACAGCAAATTGTTGAACATGAAGGCAACGCATGAAGTAACGAAGCCAAGACTTTTTTCCTCTTTTGAATGTTTTATTTTTTAAATTCAGTTCCAAGCTATTTGCCAACTGGGTCTCTGGTTGCAGATAACACATTCGGACTCCACAGGGAGAGGCCACTTCAGAAAAAGACTCCAGTAACAGAACAAAAGGAAAGGCTGGAATCCAGTTTAGGGCAAACAGGTTTTTCACAACACAACCCTCCGAGTCTTCGCTTTGGTTAATTTTTAACCAAATAGTCCGTCTTTGGTGTTTTTGGAAAGGCATCCACGTTCAACTTCTTCAACTAGAGCATGCTAGAAATTTCAGACACAAAACAGCTTCACATTTCGCCCTCAAAAATACAGTTCTGTGCCCTGCTCTGCAGCGAAGGGGATAGTTTTCTGCCACAACTCTAGCTATCAGAAAAACTTAAACCAAAAACCAGCTTAGAACACACGCCACCAATCTGAAATCTAAAAAAGCTTCAATGCAAACAGAAAAGCAGGCATGACGGGCGCTATTGTAATAAAAGAAACCAAAAACCAAGTTTAAAAAACTATATTCACGGAAAACAAACGCAGATTTATGAACGTCATTATGGTGTTTCAAGAAATTAGAAGTTATTGATTTGTGGGGGGTGTCTTTTTGGACAACTAAGGCTGGCGAGATCAGAAGACACTTCTGTGCTCCAGGATCTCCCAAAAGCCGGGTTGGGAACAGGGACACAACACCTCCACAATGTGCAATTCTTGAAAGGAAGTAGAGAGAGCTCTACAGGCTGAAAACTGAAGTGCGAAGCTTTAAAATTATCTTTTATCAGTTTTTCCTTTCATCTTCTTTTTCAATTTTGGATGTTTTAACTAAAGAGGACAAGACCGAAAGACACTTTGCCTTCCTCCGAGGAAAAACACAAATCCCTGGGAGCCGGAATCAGCTTCCTGTGCCAGACACACCGTTAGCAGTCGAAAGCCTCTGTGCCTTGTTTTGGGGTATAATATTAACTAGAGACATGGGCAGACTTCAAAGGACTCTAGCAGAAAGCTGCATTTCTTCCTTCCAGCAGATGAGCGCTTCCACCAAGCTCACACACAACATGCTTGGCATGTTTTTAAGTGCTGAGTGATTTCTTAAGTCATTCCTTTAAGTCAGTGCACCCACGTCATCAGGAAGTTCAGTTAACCAACAAGGCCTTTGCTCCCTACGTTATTTTATTCCCAGTATTAAGGAAATTCAGGTGCAAGGTCTGTTTTGGAGAAGAAACTACCACCGTTGCGCTCTGTATTGGCCAACAGCAAGACCAATCTCTCCAAGAACTCAGCGCATCACCTCCACAATGCTCCTATATCCCATCCTCAGGCATATTTGGATCCCGAGTTCCAGAACAGGTTTCAGACCAGCAACCTGCCCTACTGCTGATCAAATCAGGCCAATCCCTGTTTCAGCTCTGACTGGAGACCAGAAGCACTAGAAAATTCTCACCACCGTTTCCTTATCAGATTTTGAGTTATAGATTTATTCTCCCGGCATTAAGGAACTCGGAATATTTAACTGCAGGTTATCAATACGGACTCCCAGAGTCATTCTGGAAAATACTTTATCATAAAGGTATTCTGAAGTTCCAGTGACTTTAAATTTGAAAAACGACTTTGCAGCTATGTTCCATGAGAGGGGACCAATAACTGTCTGGACTTTGGAAATGGCTTTGAAAGTGACTGTTTGGAGGGTATACTGAAGTAAAGCTCATGCACTGTATAGGGTGTTATCAGGTGAAGTTTTACGTATCGAAAAAAACTAAGAAAATGAAAAAAGAGAGGCTCAATTCTCACCCTCCCTATGTCTGGAGAGCCATTGTGAAGGTGAAGCCTTTAGCTCCCAAGGGAGAGAAATAAAACAGATCAGCAATCCTGCTGCAAGGCAATTAAAGTAAGGACTGTTTGAAAGAGCTGAAATAACAACAGCAACCAAAATCGGAATCGAGAACCGCTGGGGACAACCGCAGAGGAAACCCCACTCACACCAGAAAATCCAGCCCGTGCGGACTGCGAAATCCCCACGTACTGCCCAGAGAACAGCTGATACAAAACCAGCCTGCCCAAGAGCCAGGCAAGCACAAAACTGGATTTGCAGAAGTGAGTCTTCCTTTGTATGTTGACTGTTACGAGGTTTTGGACTTGGAGTCGCATTTCATTTTTGTTCAGAAAGGGAAGAATAACCATATGGTCAGATAATTAAAGCAAAAGTGACACTGCGTAACATTACAAGATCTTTTCTCTCTGCAATAAAGTTTTTTTTTTTTTTTTGGCTGTGAAAACTGCAACAAGTTTCCCACTCTTTGCTTCTGTAACAGCATTTGTTCATCCTCCTATAAGAGGACGCATTCTGCTCCAATCTCAAGTTTACCTTCACATGCCCAATGTAAAGCTCAAACATTCCACGGATATGATTAAAGCACAGTGACAAACATGCAATAGTTAATGCATTTTACAAAGACTGCGGTCGAAATACGGAAGCGACTACAGAAAATGAAGGAACTTGCAAAGCTCTTGGCTTAAGATGACTCAAGATTGTATCTCTCTTCAGGAACCTCCATCCTTTCCCCAGAAGGGTATCTGTCTCCTTTTGAGGATGCTGAGGGAACAAACTGCAGAAGGAAATTTCTGCTCGTGGGGAAAAGAATTCCCTTTAGAAGAATTCCCATTAGCCGTTTCTTAAAAATATAATAAAAAAACAAAAGGTGTTTCTTACAACTCAAAAAGTGGGAAAAAAAAGTCTTCTGTTCCAAGGCTAAACAGCTCTCATCCATTTTATCATTTTTATTCTTCTCCTGTACTGTACTGCACATTAAACTTCAAGTAGTTTTTTCTAGGCTCGCTTTCCAGTCTTCGTCTCCATGGTTTGCTGCAGTGGTTCTTCTTCCTCAGACATAACACTTCACAGAACACGTTGCTTCGCAACGGGACGCCAAAAACACGTTCAAAAGAAAAGCGTTTTCTCATTTTTCTCATCTCAGGGACTAGCTGAAGCAGTAAAGGAATTTACTTCCTTTGCAAAGGTCATACAGCAATTAAAAGAGCAGCGTCAGGGAACGCCCTCATCCCGAGGGTCATTCTGCACTCAACTATGCCTCTTCAAGACTCTCTTCCTTTGAGCCCAGTTGCCATTTTTTTACATTTTGGGCCCAAAAGACAATACTTTGCTAACACAAATCCACAGTATTGTCTTCTAAAACAGCTTGCTATCTTCTCTCCACAACGCACGCTCCCTTCCAGTATGTTGACTCATTGAGCATTTGAGTTGCAGACACTAACAAGTTCACCAGAGGGTAAGTCAGCCAGTCCCAGACATCCTCTGATTCTCAAACACAAAATGATCAGACCCATTTTTAACTAGTGGGGAAAGACCACTTTTTTACATCTGAATTCAAGTACTAGCTTGATAAAGTTTAGGCAAGGAGGCCACAGCTTTGCCTACCTGTAGACCCAGAAGTTGTTTCAGGAGAGGACACATTTTGCACCACTGCTTTTTCAGTTCTCTGATTTGATGAAGAATTAAGCTTGTCTTGCCCTTTGACGCTTATTTCTGTTTTGCTACCAACGCCCTTAAAAAGAAGGAAAAAAAATGTTAGCAGCAATACATACAATTAGGTTAACAGACATACTAATCTACTCCTAAGTCTCAGAACAGAAAACTTCAGTGCTCTTCAATCCAACACATAAATGCAACAATATTTACTCTGGGCTGCTCCCTTTCCATCTCTCTCAATCTCTACTTACGCATTAGGAAAAGAGAACAAAGTTATTTGGTGGCTTTTCTAGAAATCACCTTGCCTATAATGCTCTAGGATTAAATAAATACCTATGTAGGAGGCAGAAGCAAGCGGAGAAAGTCCTAAACCTTTTTCTTATACTGACTGTCAGAGAAGCTGCTGTTCATGTGAGGCAAACTAGGAGGCAGAACTCATTTTAAAAGCCTACCTTGCAAAATGTGTACTTTCATTACCAAGAGCTTTGCCATCTGTTTCTCACAAATCAACTTTACTTCAAGGATTAGTTTTAACTAGAAAAGTGAAATTACTCAACTATAATATACTGAGCAAAGTAAGAGCAAGAACCATCAATTAGCAGCATTTGTAGGGAGCACTTTTGCTGTCAGCCAAAACGGACAGTGACAGATTTTTGGTTGCACTGAAATTAAGAGCTTAGTGCAAGAAAAGATCGTGTTGTTGGATGCTGGCTCTTGATATTTAGTGTCTCCAAGGTGCATTTCCTGCTAAAGTCTGGTGGACACAAGCGTAAACTCTGCACTAGGAGGGCTCATCCCCAGAAGAGTCGTCACCACCCAGACTACCTACCTTAGTGGAATAAACAAACTGATCGATGAGCTTTCCATCCCCAGCCGCGTTCTGAAGAGCAAAAACCTGCTCAATTTTAACAACTGGAGACATGTTACATTTCTGCAGATCCAAGGTCCCCTTGTGCATGGTGATGGAGGCCGGCAGGGATTTCCGAGCCGCAGCGGTTTTCCAGGCTATTTTCACAGGAGGGGGCTCCTCTTCTTCCGCACTCGACTGCCTCCTCTGACTTTGCCTCCGGGCGTCCGCGCTCGAGGGCGACGCTGCCGCCGCGGCGCCGTGTTCCGGCTGCGCGTTCGGCGCTGGCTTCGGGCGCCTGCTCTTCTTCGCCTCCGCCTTGGAAGCAGCAGTCTTTTTGGCTTTGGCCAAAGCCTCCTCTGGCTCTTTGTCTATATAAATGAAGGTGTACTGTTCTATCCTCTCTTCTCGAGTCATTTTCAAGGCTTTCTCAGCATGGGCAATACCAATGTCCCATTGAGCACGCTCTCTTTGCGGCCTCGGCTTGCGAATCTTAAAGAATAAAGACAAGCAGCTAATTACACCAAGTACATCTTTTAAATTTTTCATTTCTCCCTCTTAAACACCCTTTTCCGCCACCAATATTTCCACTAGCCCAAATACTGGCTTAAGTAGCTCATCCTGCACAGTAAATAATTGCTGTAGTTAACACTCCCTTTCTAATACAACCCTGGGAAAGGATGTGTCAACTTTCCTACGACTACACAGGAATTTTTTGGTTTCATATTATAGATATAAAATTACATCCAATGCCCATCAGACAGACACATAAGAAGCTGACCCACCAGCCTCTTCACAGCGAAGTAACGCAAACACAAGGAAACTTTTAGCTGTTTTTGTGAATAATATTTTGCAGGTGAAAGAACCTTTTGCAGCCCTGGCACCGGAGCACTCCGGTGTTTCCGAATGGCCCCGTGCAGGTTTCGCTTTCGCAGGCACAGCTGCTCATTTGCAGGTGCTTGGTGTTGCTCGTACCTTCTGCTTCTCCGAGTGGTTGCTGGCTTGCTTGGCAGCCTCGGCCAGTAACTGCTCGTACTGTTTGTGTCCCCTGTACTCTCGAACGCGCTTCTCGTGCACCCACGCCCTCTCGGGCTGGTTGCTGAAAAACTGGACGTGGTATTCACGGGCACCTGAAAGGGAAAGATTCCTGTGAGCAGTTTTATCAGCTTTGCTGCTTTAGCTTAAGCTTTCCTTTTCCATATGCTCCTCCAGATAAGACATACAGAGCTGAAGGGTGGAAATAAAGGGGGCCTCCAGTCCAAACAGCCTCAATGGGTAGATAAGGATATTGTGCCTACACTTAACACTCGCACTTACCAGTGTCTTCGCATGGACACCAACATGAAAAGAGTAAAAGAGGCAGCATCTGTTCACAAGCCTAATATGCACAGCTCAACTGTAGAACTAATTTTAAACGTATGGCATTGCATTCATTGCAGAAAAGCCTTGTTTAGCATGCACGCAAGCAGAAACCGTCCCACAAAGAGTTCAGATACGTGAGGTTTTTAATCAAGGAACAACTACAGACACCTGCTATGTTCTGACAAAGCTCCTTCGCCCTTACCTCTTGTGTTAATTTTGGTATGAACATCAAGCTGTGGGTCACATGAAACCATGCAAGGCCACCACGGGTACGTTCCCACCTTGGACCAAACCAGATCGCCAACCTGAAACTTGACGTCATGGGCCACTTGCGTTGGAAGAGAAGGCAAGAACTGCTGGACCTATAAAGAATATCCACAGGGATTTGCTGTTTTTCCCCTCAGTTATCACCATTTTTGACAGTCTAACTGAGATATGAGATATATTTTGAAATTTGAGATCTATTTATCTTACAAACATGACAAAAGGACTTAAATACAGTCAGAAGGTACGTAAAATAACCACTGATTAACAAGAACACACAATAAAAAGTGTTTCTACTTATAGGCTGATTAAAAATGTTGCTTCGGGGATGAAATAAAGCAATAAATACAGCAACAAAAGACATTTTGAAACACCAAGCATTTAAAAGATTGACAACTAGTTTATCTGACAACTTAAAGAGCCTGTATGATAGTTAACATAAAAACAGTAAGACATGAGAAGTGCAGCAAGTGTTAATTTGTATATACTGACCGGTGCTTCCTCTGACAGTGCATCTTCCCTGGGCCTTTCTGCTAGCAGGCTAAGCCTCTCATTTGGTCTCTAGGAAATGGGTAACAACGAAGAGAAAAAAGGGAAAATAAACACAAAGAGGGTAAGGGGACCATAAAACCAAAACCGGTACCAACGAAACCAGGCAGAAAAAAATAATTAGCATAGGAAACATTCACGAACTTAGCAGACATGAGTATGACGACTCCTTACAAGCAATTCAAAACACGATAGTATCACAATTGAAAAAAAAACAACACCTTTTTCTTCTGCACTCTTTACATTACCATCGAAACTACATAGACCAACGTTCTGCTGTAATAGGTGACAGAAGAACATACAGCTGGGCACAGCAAACCCAGATAATTTCCCAGCTGAATGAACGTACAACTTGGAAGAAACAGAAGGCTAGCTGAAGGATATCCATAGTAACATGGAGAATCTCACTGCATACTGGTTACTTTCCAAAAAAATAACAGCACTACAAAAATCATTTGTTGATTTAAAGACACAATATGAAAACGATAATATCTAGACTGAATCGCGTCCGCTTAACAAATATTTGGAGCTTCGAAGTGGAAAAACAAACCCAAAAAGACTGCAGAGCGTTTATGAGGCAGGCTGAGGAGCAAAATAAGAGAGAGAAACAGGTTTGGCAGAAGAAAGATCAACATTGAGCAAAGCCAGAGGCATCGGTGGAATGGGGATGCTAGGGAGAGCGATGACACAGCAGGTGAGCAGACACGAGCGGCGCTGCGAACACCCAAAGAAACCGAGCGCAGACGTTCGCTTTCATTACGGCAGAGTCGTTAGTGAAAGCACTTGGAAAAGAGCTAACGAGGTTAGAAATATGCACAGAGAAACTAACAGTGTCGCTGGTGTAAATTATACCTCGTCCATTGAAAATGGAGACTCTGTGTTAATCATTACTGCACACTTGAGCTCTGAGAATCCAGGAGACACTCATTTAAACACCCTCTCTGGCAATTAAAATCAGTTCTGCCATTCATTTAGAGTTGCTTATAGGAAATGATTGAGTCCAAGCAAATATCTGCTGGGTAGAAAACATTCCTCCTTGGTAAGGCAGAAAGCACAGGGACGATTCCTTCCTTTCTGTTGCTACAGGTCAGTGGAAATATTGTGTCTGCCACAACTAAATGCATTAGACAGGAAGCCCAAACAAGAGACTGAAACTTCCCACTCCCCGCAGAACATGACTGACTGGTAAAATCACCCATTTTAAAACAGAGCTTATAATTCAACGTTTTTGTAACTTGTCTGTTTCAAATCAAGCTTTCTAGCCCAAACTGTCCCCACGGCTGGCGAGGTTCTGCTGATTGCAGGATCAGAATGAAGCAACAACTATTGAGTATCCGACCTCCAAACAACCATGTTGAACAAAGCACAGAACAACGGAAGCTGTAATGGAAACGGTGTTTCCATTAAGCCAATTCACAGATCTCATCACATTACTACAAAAAGGTGGCAAAAACGTACCCTGCAGTAGTGAGCTAAATGGTGAGTGAATCAAACTGACCCCAGACTGCAATAATTCATGTTAAAAACCACTGGCACAAAACACTGTTCACCTCAGGAGTTGCACCATGATAGGAAGCTTTGCCTGAAAGAATCAGGAAGGATTTTTTGTGCAGAAAATGCCCTTAGAAAGGGAAATAGAAGCTATCCCAAGACTATACTAAGGATTTGGGTGAATTGCAGATGACAACAGAGCCCTGGACTGCCTGGGATTTTTGCAGGGAAGTTTCTGTTCAGACTGGGAACGGATCCTGGAAATAATGCGAGCCAGTGTCCTCACCATGACCAAAGATAACCTGTATTTTTCCCTTGGATGACTTCATTTATGAAAATGTTAGGGAACTGCACTAAAGTAAACCATGCTGATCAAGGAGAGCAGGAATTCCAAGCCCTAAATGATGCCCCACTCGTCTGCACTGAGCTCTGCTCGGATACACCCGCCGGCAGGCAGACCTCAGGGGAACAGTGCAACCCAACAGGCTAAGGGCATGGCAAATAGCAGATCTTCCATTAGAAAAAACCCACAACCGAACAAAAACAACCAGCCAAAAAAAGCCAAGAATGTCCCTTCCACACAGGGCAGATTCCGCTCCCAAACCTGCCAAGGGCAGCAAATATCAAGGGGGTTCCCGGGAAGTTGGGAGAAAGGGGAGAAGGGGAGAGCGTGGCCCGCGCTGGCACTTTCTGAGTGTCACATTCCTGGCAGGGCCACCCCGACCTGCTCCCCATTCCCCTCCTGCTGGTAAATACAGGAACGGGTATGGCAGAGCTGGCAGGGATAAGCAAGAGGAAAGGAAACAGAAGTAACGAAGTGACTCAGAAACCTAAAAAGGAATAGACTGACAGGACAGACGACCAATAATTGCTCTCTCCACTTCCTGGAGGCTAGGTTAAAACGCTGCACGTATTGTGCAGCCCTGCGTATGTGCATCCATATTGCAAAACTTAGCAGAAATGGGAACGGAAACGGAGTCGAAGGTTTGCAGAGGCTGCGGTATTACCCGCATTGCTCATTTCGCTGCTGCGTTGGAACGCTGATTTCTGCTGGTTTGTACGTGTGCTACAGACAGCTCTCACTTTTTGTACATCATTTAAACATTCAGCATAGCTATGAAAAATTTATGTGTCAGCAGACGGGATCAGCACCCAGATACTGTGCAGAAACAGGAGAAGTGTCTGCGATTTGCTACGGTGGATTGGGGTTTATTTTGGTGGAAGGGAAAGGCTGCTGCCTCTGGGAAATCAGACTGCTTCCACTGCATTTAAAATGTAGTGCTGAACACTCCAAGGAGCCCGATTTCCTGCTCAATCACCCAGCATTGCTTTAAAAGTTAGTTTTAGAACTTTTTGAATGTGTATTTTTGGCCAAATCTCTAACACTGTGCGAGCACACCCAACTCTGAACATCAGAATGTTAAACAATCCTGAAAAACATTAAATAACCCGCTCTAACATTTATTTTTGCCACGCAGTCCTTCCACCACAACTGTGTTGTGCTAGAAATAAAGTTGCTAGCAACCTAATATGGAGTATCTGACAAGTCCACGAAGCCCCACAAGGTCTTAAGCACGCATACAACTAAAAGCAAGGAAAACCACCGCCGACGCCGAACTCTCCATCAATAACATCAGGTATATAGACGGCTGAAACAATCATTCCACTTACATT